CCAGTAAACACAAGGCAGTCTGGTTCCGACAGGTGGACACCAGCGGGACCTGATGGTCAGCCTCTGACTAGGCCTGGCGTTCCCGTTCTGCAAGGGGCAGCAGTAGTGATGGGCAGTTGTTACAAAGTGCTTTTGCCTCCCGTCTTAGGTCGGAACCACCGACGGGGATCTGGTCCCAGAGATGGGGAGGCTCTTGGGAGAAACCTGTAGGAAGTGAGGGAAGCAGGACAGGGAAGAAGCCCTCAGCCTAACCAGGGGGCGCCCCGCAGTGTGAGGAGCACCTGGGATTTGACCCCCATGCCTGCCGAGGCCTGTGGCGGCTCCAGAACCCGTATCAGCCATTCCCGGGGGCGGGCTGCCCCCAGGAGGACGGGACAGGGGACTTGTTAGAGCCAGAGCTCAGGTCAGGAATGGGCTTCAGTGGAGAGGCCCCAGGACCCCTGCTTCTCATCCATTTTCTCGTGGGACCCTTGCATCAGCCGAGGGAGGCAGCCGGGCCAGCAACAGCTGTTCTGTTTTCCAAGTGAAGGGACTCTGTCAGTGAGCCCAGACTTTGGACCAGTCCCTCTGACCCCAGACCCTGCATCCTGTGCTGCTCCCCGGGGCCACACGCACCACACTCCCGTGGTCTTCCCAGCTTTGGGGGCCGGAGGGGCCCAGGGAGACAGGAATGAGGAAACCAGCCTGTCCTCCTTAGGGTAAGACAGCCAGGAGAAAGGGCACCCCCACAGCCTTGCGCTTGGCCCTGAGCTGCCCCAGGCTGGCACAGGGAGCCCGGGCACTTGGGGAGGGGACAGAACTTGTGGCCAGAGGGTTTGTGGGAGGGTGGTGGTCAGCTTATGCAGAAAGGTGGGGCTGAATCTGTTGAGTTAACATGAGTTTCCTGAGGGGCGATTTGGTTTTCAGCTCGCAGCTAAGGTAGAGGTGCCGTCAGCTGGTGAGGGGCTGTGTCCTCTCCGGCCTCGTCACAGTGTGTGCGCACAGGGCCAGGCCCTCTGGGTGCTCTCAACACCCAGGTCTGATGGGCTTCTGTCTGCAGTGGGGGCTGCACAGAGTTCCGCCAAAAGCAGGGACCTCTGTCTCAGTCCCCAGGATCCAGCCAGGGGCCTTCCACCCAGAAGGAGGGTATAATAGCAAATATCTGCTCATAAAGGCCACACAGAAGCAGGGGCCATTGCTCCTGGCTGTGAAGCCCTGGAGAGACGGGGTGGGTGGGCTGAGACTTAGCTGGCTAGACCTGAGGTCTGGCAGGTCTCATGGAAGCAACTTGACTTTCAGGGGCTCCATTCCAAAGTCACCCCAGACTGTAGGACTGGGGTGCTGAGTGTATCTCCAGCCACTAGCCTGAGCCCACATGGATGGTCTCCTCAGAGCTTTGTTACCTGGGCAGGCCTGTGCCCAAGTAGGTGGCCCGTCTCCAGGCCAGGGCTGGGCCTCAAGAGAACAAGAATTTGGCGTAGAGGGACTGTGTCCCGGAGCAAACACTTCACCCTGGAATGATGTGTTCACATAGTGCTTTGAACTTGTTAGCAGCTGTGCCGCTTTCCCTAGACATTTTTGAGGGCGCACGGGCCTCCAGGCCTACAACAGGCCCGTGCAGCATTCTTCTGTGGGAGCTGGGCTTTCTGGGAGCGAGAGCTGCCAGGAGAGGCTGGGCGGGACCCTGCCCCCAGGGCGTGGTGGGCACAAGGCAGCCCTGGATGTTGGCACAGGATGGGCTCGCCGGGGATGGCGCCTGGGCAGGACACACACTGCCCCACTGTGGCCATCACATTCCTCCCTGGCAGGTGAGGCGTGCCACCGGTTGGGACATTCAGCAGGTGGGTCTTGGTTTTCACTGTGGCTGAAACAGCTGAGTTTAGAGTCAACAAAGTTTTCAAGGTGACACTAGCTTTACAGCCCAGGAGCAGGTGCCTTTGAGGACTGTCAGAGGGTCGGGCTCAGTGGCATCCTGGGATTGGCTTGTGACAACATTCACCAACCAGACCTGGCAGCTTCTTGCCCTGCTGCAAAGCAGAAGGGACTCAGTTATTCCAGACAGAGTGGGGGTGACCCAGGTGCCCTAGGCCCACCTCTTATTCGTCAGGTTGGAGGGTCTTGTCTGAAGCTGTCACACCCAGGTGTGGCAGAGCTCAGGCCTGTAACAGCCTGTCTGGCCTCGGCCCTCTCCAGGGCACACTTGAGGCAAAAGTGACATCTCTGAAAGTTTGCAGCAAACTGGGTTCCCCACACCCTGCTGCTGGTGTGAGCGACGTTTAACATGAGCAGTGCCCAGACACACACGCCTGTCATATCTGCCATGAAGTCAGGCGCCCCCACCCCCCTGCGCCTTAGTTAATGCACGAGGCTGGGTAGGACGGGAGGTGAACACAGATTCGGGGGCACTTTCTGTTCGGGTTGACCCCAGCACTTGCCCCCGTTTTCACGTTACAGCTCACAGGAGACGGGGACACCTGCTCAGCGTTGTGGCCAGCCCCCAAGGGCGGCGCACGTCAGTATCTTGGCATCACCTGTGAGCCACCTGCACACATCGGGTTTATCCTGGATGTTAGTATTTGTAGCAGGAATCACACTGCACTCGCAGAAATCCTTACAAACACTGCTTCTAAGGGCAAGAAACTCTGCCCAGCTGCCAGGGGCTGGGCTCTGCCTCCGGGGGCCTCGTCTGCTGAGGCTGGGGGTCGGCGCCTTGCCTGGGCTGGGCCATCTTCCCTCCTTCTTGTGCCCCTACCTAGTTTTCCCATTGCCCTGGCTCTGGTCTAGGTCAGTCAGGGGAGTGGCTGGGAGGCAAAGTGGCCTCAGAGACCCTCCCATCACAGGCGTCTGGGGCCTCTGCCCGCCCAGCATCAGGTCTGTGTTCTGACCTGGGATCACCCAGGATCTTGGGGGCTGGTTTGCATGAGGAGCTGTCTCCAGCCCTCTGCTGTGGCAGCGGAGGGAATGTGCACTGTGCAGCCTGGGGCCTCAGTGAGCCCCATGGTAGCCCAGGGGGAGGCACCACAGGGGTCCCTGGTCTGGTGAGGCTGAGGCTTGGGCTCCCACCACGGCCTGGGCCAGCATCTCAGGTCTAATTGGTGGCCCAGCCCTTCTCTCCTCAATCCCAGCGCTTTTTCCCAGAGCTCCCCCAGTACCCCAGCCTTCCTTTCTCTGCTAATCAAAAGACTGCAAGACAAGCAAACCCATCAGAACAGTTTCCTCCTGGTGCAGTTAGGAACAGTGAGTGTGTGCATGCAGGATGGCCACCTTCCTCCAGAGAGAGCGCCTTTTATTTTCCATTTGCTGAGCCTGTTTCAGCAGCTTGTTTGCCATGACAGCTGGTGGTCATCTTTATTTCAAAGTGACATACAAACACTCCAGCCTGTGAAAGGACCCGGGGCCCTTGGGACAGGCCTGTGATCTTGGCATTGGCAGGCATGCGGTGCTCCCCCGTACCCCCAGCACCCTCCCCAGTCCTGTCCGGGGAAGCAGCCAAAGCTCAGATTCCTCCCTGCTTGCTTTGCCGCGCATCTCTTCTGTCTTGTCCTAGAGAAGGGACTGCATTGCTACCGGTCCTGTCGGGGGTCAGTGGGGCTGGGCCGTGGGCGCCCTGGTCGTCACAGTTCTCTGTCCCAATTTTGTGCTCCACTAGGAATGCAGGCCTTTAACTGAACCCACTTGTGCACAGTGCTGGGCTTGCTCCCTACTATGAGTGGGTGGCCTCAAGCACCCTTGGGTCATGTTCAAGCTGCGCCTGCTGCTTGGACAGGCCCCAGGCTGCCGCCTCCTCCAGGCCAGCCCCACGCAAAGGCAGTGCTTGGCGGGCGGGGAGCTCTTTCCAGCCATGTTCCTTCACTGGGGCCTCCAAGGGGAACAGGCAGGACCATCACTACTCGCCTGCTAAAGATGAGGCAGTGGAGGCCTAGGGAGGCTGAGGGGTCTGCCTGCGGTCCCAGCTGTGGGCCTGACCTCTCCTCCAGCAGAGCTGCATGTCCCGCTGCCTGCGGGCCTGTTGAGGGCACAGGAGCCCAGGACTTGCGTGGAGGCCAGCCCACTGGTGGCTGTGACGTGCACCAGATTGGACGTCGGCTCAGCCCTCCTGGCCCACGTCCCTCTTGCTGTCGTGGGGAGAGGGTGGCACGGGCACCATGCCCCTTTGTGCAGCCGTGCAGCCTGGCAGTGTTTCCATTTGCGTCAGCAAACCCACGCCTGCAGTGTTCCTTTAATGGCCAGAGTGTCTTCCCTCGTCTGCAGAGACATGCTTTACGGGATCATTATCACAGGGAATTTGGGTCACTCTCTGTTCTTTCAATTTAACGGTGTGGCAGGGAACATTCATGTCTCCGAATTTTTGCGTGTGTCCAAATTGTTTTCTTCTGATAAAAATCCTAGAAGTGAAATTGCCTGATGAAGGAATCAGACCCATTTTCAGCAAGGCTGTGCGTGAAGGGCCCTGAGCCTGACCCCGCCCCCACAGCGCCCCCAGACCCGGGCGCTGCCCACCTTGTGCCGTTTGCCAGTTTATAAGTGAGTAACTGCATCTTGCGTTTCTGCACTCACATGGTGTTTGTTGGCCAGGCGTATTTCTTCGTGAGTGAGTTTCCATTAGCCCCTTTTCCTTGCCTCGATGGTGGAGGAGGCCAGTCTTCCACTGCCTGGTGGTCCCACTGGCGGATAGTTCCAGAGGCCCTGGCCTGGAAGGTGGGGTGCACAGTCCGTGGGTTTCAGGAGGGGAGCGTGACTGTTGGTGACCTGTGTGCCTGTCTCCCCCACAGAACTGTCAGACCTTCAGCAGCCTCAGCTGCCTGAGCGCGGGGATGGAGGACTGCGGCCCCCACAGCCCCTTCGCCCTCCACGCCAGCAGCACCAGGTCCTGGACCACCTTGCTCTCGGCCTCCGGCACAGGGGGCAGGACCCCCGCCGGGACCCCAGTCCCCGAGCCTCTGCCCCCGTCCTCGGACGACCACCTCGCCTGCCGGGAGGAGCTGTGCTGTGAGGAGTCAGGCGGCTGCGCCCTGGACGAGGGCTGCGGCAGGCGGGGGGATCCGGCCACGGCCTGGCGGGACCGCGGGGGCCGCCCGGAACTGGCCCCCTGCTCCCTGGACGGTGTGCTGGACATT